CGCGGGGCGGCTTCCCGGCCCGCCCATAGCCCTGCCACGCTTTTGAAGGACTCTAGAGCATGCTTTATTTTTAAAAGAGCCTAATTTATTTTTTAAAAGCCCCTAAAGCCTATGTCCGATCAGTGTGTTTACTTAATGGGCTGATTTGCTGTTATTTTATTACGGTTATTTATGTTCCCCTGTAATTCCAAGCTAAACAAAGTGCTTAGATGAGGGTGAGATGAAGACAAAAATCAGTTTTGTTTTTTCAAGCTAGCTCTTGGATTATCACCATTAACTTTGGCCTCTTTCCCCCCTCCCCCCCCCAGAGAATACTAAGGTGTTTGCCTGGTGAGATGGTGGCGGCAAATATGTCGAATTATAAAGGACTGGTTAGCTTCTCAGAAGCCATCTTGAGTCACCTATGACTAATCCAGTAGTCACAGATGAGGTCTTCAGGCTATTCAGCTAGCTAAATAGTTCTGCCTCCAACCTGGCTGAAAATGGTCTTTGATGGCATTTGCGTCACCCCTTTATGAAAGCCGGGTACTCCAGTACATTGCTCTGACTCAGAAACAGCCGTCCCCAGTTGGCCGAGTGACGCCATTCTTAACATTGCAGCTGTTACTTTGTCGAGGGACCTCAGGGCACTAGCAAAACGTCATTATCCTAACTTCTGGAAGCAGTAGTCTGCGAGTCGGAAGTTTCATTTTCTCCTCCTACGGTGTCCAGACAGATTTCCACATTTCATTTCAGGCAGCACAAGGAAAAAAAGTTACCATGCTTGGTGAATATTCCTAGTAATTTTGAAGGGGGGGGGGTTGCTGTTCGTTAACTGAATAGTAACGTACCCCAAGCTCTTACCGTGTATTCCTTTTATTTTCTACTTTGAAAAGAGGTAGTCAGAGGACTCGGGGGGGTGGGGGAGGGGAAGGATGGTAGTCTGGCTGTTGTAAAACACAATCTTTTTGCCATGATACGATGGTTGGGTACAACCAAACTTAGAACAACACATCCTACAACTGAGGGCTAAACCCCAGCTTTGTAAAAAACGTTAAGTGGAAACTAAGTGAAATGCCTCAAACTTGGTATCAAGTATTTCATTTTTAAACACTGACAGACAACAGCCCCCCAGTGTCAACCCACACCATGGATGCGGATGCTCTACAGAAACTTATTCATTTGCTCCAGGCCACAGATGATCCATTAATTCAAGAGCAAGCTTTAATCACTCTCAGCAACAGTGCTGCCTTCTCTGTAAATCAAGTAAGTATTGTTCTGTACAAAACAACAGTGTTTCAATAGCAGTCAGTGTGGAGAGGTGCTGTTTTGCTGGAGTGACACAGGACTGAGAGCTATGATAGCTTGTGTTCTAAAATCCATTCTAAGTCTATGCCTTAATTTCTGCCAGCCCAAATAATATAATTTACCAGCTTCACAAAAGAGTTCTGTATTTTTGAAGCGCTGTAAATACCTTTTTGTCTTTTGTTGCTTACAGTTATGTAATGTTAATGAAAAGGTTGAATTGGAGAAGGGTTAAATAGTTTCAGGATCAGATCTGAAATTTACCGAGATAATTTAAACTACTTTTGTATCTTTATAAAGCTGTATGCCACTTACAGCTTAGCAACTATCCAGGTCTCTTCAAATTGATTGGAAATATGATCCAGAAAAACTTTGAGCTGGATGCATTTTCATGCCTTTGTAAAGGTTTAACCTCCAGGGTCCCAGCCTTTTTTTGTTTTGTTTTCTTTTTTCCTTTTTGTATGGTACTCACAACAGCTGTCTATTCTGGCTTCTCAGAACTGTTTTCTTAATGTAAATTTCTCAAAACAGAACTGAATCCCAAGGCCCATTGGGTCATTTTTAATTTTCTTTAAAACAGTACATGGGGTTTTTTGTTGATGGTTAGAATCTAAGTGAGAAAGATTTAAAAAAAAAATCAAGTGTAATGGAAAAGAAAGATAAAGTTTTAGAACTTCTACTCATATAAAGCTGCATCTTGAAATTCTGTTCAGTCAGGACTTTCAGGTACTGTCACCTGGCTCAGATATTCTATAAACTCATTATGCAGTAGTTACCTTTGATTCTTTATAATCTAAAATGCTTTAAGCATGGTTTGTAGGCCAAATTTTAAAAGTAAAGGTGTTGCACCATTGCCAAAGAATGTCAAATAATATTTTGGCCCTGAGCAGGACTATTCTTAATTTCAGTGGAAGCAATAAAGCAATATCTGGTAACACTCTCTCTTTAAACAGAGTAGTCTATTCTGGAAGTCTTCATTTCACACATTCCATTTGCGTTAAAACAAACTTTGAGGAAAGCCTTCAGCATTTAATTTAATTTTTTAATAATCTTATTAAATATTTCTATATTTCAGGACATAATCCGAAATTTGGGTGGCCTTTCTATTATTGGAGGGATGCTCTCGGATTGCGTTCCCAAAGTTAAAGAAAAAGCACTAAATGCACTTAATAATTTGAGTATGAATGTTAAAAATCAGGAAGAGATACAGGTAAGTTTCTTAAAGGGAAAAATCAAAGTAATTGAGACACAGGAGATAGTACGGGGCTTTCAGCGTATTTGTCAAATACAAGCCAGGATGCCAAAAAGTTTGGAGGTTAAACATACAAGTCAGCAGATCTGGATGATCTGTGCGTCCCAAGGCCAAAAGGATAACTTAAAAATGCACTGCATCACTGGCGCTTACTTTTTTTAAAAGACAGTTAGGAAACTGGGCAGTTTGTGTTCAGCTTTCACCAAATGCTATTAAACAAGAGACTGTGCTGCTATATAGTGAGATTATGTGAGGCAAGATGATTTCCAAACATGTCTAGAACATCAGCAGTTGTTTAATAGGATGGATTGCAGACTGAATTTCGCATGACTCCTCAGGCAAGGGAGAAGAAAACAGTGATTGATCCCCTGGGTTTGTGCAAGACCGATTTTTCAGGGTGATACTTTCAGCTTGAATGAACAGTGTGTAATAACAATAATAAGTCCCACTGGTAAATATAGTAGATTGTACGGATGTGAAAGGACCAAACATCAAAAAAGCATCCACTTTTGATATTATCAGATTAATCAATAGATCAAGAACTGTCCGAGCAGTGAGCTGATGCAGATTTTAAGATTTTTACTAGGTTTTTTTATTAGCTTGATAAAAAGGCAGTTTGGTATGTGGTAGTTTGCAGCATCTTTAGGACTGAGCAACATTTTTTAGAGTAGTGCTTGCCAACAGCAAATATTTATATAGGCATACAGGTAGAAAACAACTCCTTTGGTAAAGGCAAAGTAATTTTTTTCTCAGTTAGGACTCCAAGATTTGTCATACACTGTCATCCAGAAGAAAATTTGGTAAAAAGTAGTTGTTAATGTCCGTTGTCATCACTATTCCTGAGGAGTGCTCCAGTTAATGGACCACATGGTTGGAAAAAGGAATTTCTTTCCAAGACTTGTCCTTAGCTTGTTCTCAACATTTAAGAATATGTTGGTTGCTGTAAGTGATTTTTTTAAATAACTTCTTAAAGCAAATGTGCCACTTCTGGGATGGAGTCAAAACAGTTTGGGTTTTCAGAGCAATTTATGCTTCAGGAAGGTTAGTGAGCATAACTCTGTAACATCTGCTTCTATCATGCCAATAGAATGCTTGAATATATTCAAAACAAAACAGTACTTGTTTCCAAGAACCTTCATCAGGTTTTGTAGTCAACCAGCAGTGTTAAAGAGGTATTTATGCTACTGTGGCTAGGCCACTGATACTATTTGTGAATAGAAAATCTGCTTGTATCAAAAAATGTCTTCTCTCTTTATCTCCTTCCCTTTTTCCCCAGGTATATATTACGCAAGTTTGTAGGAATGTTGAGTCAGCTCCCCTGAACTCTGATCTGCAGCTAGCTGGACTCAGATTGTTGACAAATATGTCTGTTACCAGTGACTACCACCATAAGATGATAAACTCAATTCCATGCTTTTTTCATTTGCTTTCAGAAGGAACTGAAAGGACACAGGTACTGGGTAGTGTATTGTTACAAACCATTTATGAAGCTGCTTTACTTTTTTGTAAAAAGTAAACTTGCCTCTTTTTTGCTGTTTTTGTAAAATGGTTTAGACTGTGCTTAGAAAATCAAATATTCATTAATGACAGCAGATAGTACATAAAATACGGATTACTTTCTCAATGTAAATTCAGAAAGAGGGGAGGAAAGTAATCTTGATAGTGGAACCGTTGGGCTAGAGCTCTACCAAACCAGTGCTGTGTGCACTGCTATTGTCCTACGCCTTCGCTATAGCAACTCCAGAATTCTCTTCTGCTTGCTAAACATCGCTGCTGCATCACAGAGCGAAGAGGATCTGCATGTGAAAGGCTTCACTGATGTATGAATCTCTCTAGAGAAACATGCCAAGCAGCGATAATCTGTTATGGATCTCCGTTCCATTACGCTTATTACATCTCTTGCAACCCTAGTGACTGCAATGGGCAATTGTGCTTATTTGTGAATTATTGTAATATTGAAAGAAGAGAAAAGCTTCAAACAGCTTTCAAACAGGCACCAAATTCAGTGTTTATTCAAGATGTCACAGTGCCATCAATATCAATGTACTCAGTTGCTCTATTAGATCAAAACTAGTTTTCCAAAACACAAATTTCCACTAAACTTAACAGACCTATTTTAATTAAGTACAATAAACAGCATTTAGTCTTTTCCTAGTGTTTAGGCAAAAGATTAGGGTCACAAGGTCCAGGAAAGTACAAAGGTGTATTTCTATATGCTTCTGATCCCATTTTAAATACAGTACTTAGCCTTCCTCTGTATATTTTTAAAAGATTATGTATTTTGCCTACTGCAAGTTGTGTATAGATCTTGCCTTATTTTGATGTTTAAGGCAAACTGAATTTGCTTCCAAAGTATCTATACTTAGTACGTACAGGCTAGTGACTCCATAAGCTGTTTTTTCCCATACCAAAGACTGAAGCGCACAACTCAAGATGTTAGTTGACCCATTCTACCTTTTCCTCTACAAGTCAACACTGACATTATTGATGTCCACTATTGCTCTACTTACTGGTGTTTGGAACTTACAATGAACTTGTATGTTCCTCATTTCAGATTCAAGTTTTGAAAGTACTTGTGAACTTATCTGCAAACCCAGCCATGACAAGACATCTTCTCAGAGCTCAAGTAAGGTTCTTGCTGTTTCATTATATTTTTAGCATACATGTGTACGTGAATAAATATGTGCATGCATTAGGCGGATTTTAATGTATTAGAAGTACACATGCAACTCCAGAGTAAAATTCTAGGCAGTACCTGGTTAAAATGAGTAGCTAGAAGTGTGCATTCTTTCACAGGCTAGCGTTCTTCCAGAGTGTAGTGTAATACAGATACCGTACTTGCAGAGGGAGAGCCACGGCACCTATGCACTTGAAGACAGTTGGTCATACTTTCTGTGTACCATTCCAGATAATCAGTGACAGCTTGCAGAAGCGCGTTCTCACCTTCCCTTTCCACCAAAGTGGTAGTACCATGAAGTTTTGTAATATATATAAGGTACCCTGATAAGTTTCAAAAACAAACCCAAAACCTCATTTCCAGACATGCAATCAGTATATAGATGGAAGACCAGGTACAAACATCAAATACAACCAGTACTGTAAATGATCCTTCTCAACAGCTGTTTTCATAGCTAACATACTGTACCCAAGATGACCAAATTCCACTGAAATCCCCACCCGTTTCCTCAAATGCAGCCATAAAACTGTTGTTTCTAAGCACTGTAAGCGAACTTTCCCTGTGCATTTACTTATGTCCTTATGGAGAACTTTTATCTGACATGTGCTATTGCTGGCCTGGGCATACAGGTTTATTTCAGTTATAGCGTTTCCTCACGCCAAAACAAAGAGTCAGGGACAGGAATGGTGCTGCATCCTCCTCCACCTCCCCAAAATAAGTTTCTTAAAACATGTAGTGGCTTTTATTTCTGAGCTATCTGCCATGAGCAAAGCTAGTCTAGATACTACTGGCTTTTCATTATTAAAACAAGATTAGGGTAGCTAAATACTCAGTTCTCTGATAAAAGTGATCCTTTTCTCATTCATCAGATGTGCTAACATAAGAACATTCAGGTTACTGCAGAGGGCAAAAGCAACATCATTGAGAAGGAAAGCAGACCCTCTCTTCCAAATGGGAATTTTCCAGACGGCCACATTTTGGAGGTTGAAAGTACAAAGCATTTATTAGCCTGTGATGCACGTCTTTTCTAAAGAGGAAATGTGCACGCTGTGCAAGTTTCTGGCATGCTTTCACAGCATATGGAGTTCTGGTATTTCATAGAGTTTCTGGTTTAGATGGTTTAGGTGCATTTCCACACCCCCCTCCCCTTTTTTTTAAGTTGGATTCAGTTACATGTGCTTACTGCTGGTGATTAACTGTGGATTATTTCTTGAATATCCTAGGTGCCGTCATTGCTGTTACTTTTTGACACCTGTATAAACAGAGATATTCTGCTTAGAGCCCTGGCGTTTGCAGCAAACTTGAAAAAGAACGTGAACAATGAAGATGGCACCATGATTCAGGACCAATACAGTGAAGATTCAGTTTTCTTTACGCTCTGCAGCGACTCTACCCCATTCTCTCAGAAACTGGCATCTTTATTGCATCACCCTGATACAGAAGTGAAAGAGCAAGTTGTTAGAATATTAACACAATAGCGATTTTTAAAAAAACAAACAAAACCAGACTGACTTGATAAAAATATCTAATCTTAAGAAGGCTATGCTAAAAAAAAAAAAACCCAACAAACAAAACCAACAAAAAGTTACTGAATACTGCCATATTACTGGGCACAAATCAGTTACACAAAAGAGAATGCAATGTATGTAACAGAGAGAGCATAACAGATTTCTTTTACGAACAAGATAAAAGCAACAGCTTAGCACTGAGAAACCACTGTACAGCTGGTACCTGTACGCAAAGGGGGAGGAATGGTTTCAAACATGAACACTTTCATACATACAGTGAACATTTTAAATGTATGAGTAAAGTCAATCAAAGTATTCTTTTCAAAGAATTTTTGTTGCCTTAAATATTTACAGCTGTTGAATAAATACCTCTACAGAATGGTGCATTGAAGATTTAGGAAATAGAGATTAGGCATTTAGAATTTACTGATCTGATCCCTGCTAAATGGGTGCAGCCAAATCTTAGAAAATATTAAATAAAAACAGTACCAAACTATCATTGGCTTCCTACAAAATTAGTATTTTCAATGAAAGCTGCATATTAAAGTTAACTAAGTTAAAGCCTGTGTTTTTTCACCTTACCTGCACAGAATATATTCTAAAACTACATTCTCATATGCTTAGTATATGCATTCCATTTAGGCGAACCGCAGTGCAGTTAGCCACAGTGCAATGTTTCTACACTTGAAAAAAATCAAAAGGATTTTATCTTGCTTTAAAATTGTCACTTTAAGGAAAGCATACATATTTTTGACTCAAAATATTTTGAAAGATTATCTGCAACCACAATTCAACATTCTCATCTTTATAAAAGAGTCTACAACAGCAGTATCATACACATTTTTACAAAAGCTTCCTGTTGTGTAGCAGCCCTCAAGCACGCTTTCCTTGGGGAGCTTTACTCCTTTTTCTCTGCAACTGGAACGTCATTGGACTAAGTGCTTCCATTGAGTTAGCCCCCATAAAGTTTTAGTCATCAATGCAGTGTTAATTCAAAATGAAATGGAATACATATAAACGTCGTTGTAAAAGAACCTGAAGGAAGTTTCATTGATGAACATACAACACAGTAGAAAACACTTTATACTAAAAGGAGACTACTAAAACTTCCTGAACATTGCATCATAGAGGACGTAAAAAGCATCAGGTGTAAAGGCTAGAAAACAAGTTTTCCACCTTTTACCATTTTTAAGAGAGCTGTATTGCCCAAACTTACCAGATGCTTCATCTTCCTCAGTCAATATACCCACTCTGCTCTTAATTACTACTCTCTTCTCTTTCTGTAATTCAATAGATATTTTATTTATTTTCAGTAGGCAACTTTGCAAATAGCTACAACTGCAAGAAAAATGTGACCTTGAAAATACAATATACCTATGCCCTGATCAATATGGGGGTAAAGCTACATGTATCTAATTTATCCGCATAGGTAGTTTTAACTCCTCAGGAACACAATTAAGGCAGAAGTAGGTTGGCATGATTCCCAGTCAGAACCCTGACAATTGCTGCATTGACAGTGAACTTCCCTTTCTCCTTCCCACTGCTCAAAAAACACTTCATTTTGTAATAAGTAAATTACATTACAATCACAATGTTTTTGTAGATTGAATTTTTTTCTGCTTCTGTATTTAACAAAGAAAAATAAAGGCTAGGTCAGACACATAAGAATTTACCAATCCCACCTTCCTCTTCTGACACAAGAACTTAGCCTAGTCTGTTCTAGGTGTATCTGATGTGTGTATATATATATATGTTTTCTTAGGTTCAGCAATGGAGGTGTCTAGGTCTCCCTCTCCATGTTCTCCAACCTAAAAATAAGGTTTTCAAACATCATCTTTTTGATAATTAAAGTTGATCTCTTATCCTTTGCTTTGATAGCTGACAGAAACAAGTGACCATTGTCCCCTTTTCTAAAAACACATGAAAACTTGTTAGAGTGTTGTTTCAGTTGTCTTTTTCTGGTCTAGCAAGAGCTATTTTTAAATGCTTTATTGATAGAACAATGCGACTGACATCATGCAAGACTCTCCAAAGTGTCTTCACACAAGTGTGTCTAATTTTCTATCTCCCACCCCACCCCCTAGATGGAATCTTACCAGCACCAAGCACAGCATAACAGTCACCGTTCTACATACAAATGCTGTGAATTAATAGACCCAAACCAAAACATACGCCAAGGCTGACATGCAGTCTCTGATCCTTGTAAGTCAGTACTTCTCTGCTACGTGGTTGCTTATCTAGGTATTCTGTACTTTAGTTTCATTCTTTCTAAAGTACAGAATTTTACAGTATAGTCTACTGATGATTTTGAAAGCTGAAAAAAAAACCAAACCCCAAACCAAAAAACCCAAACCAGCTTCAATTCTAACCACGTCCTTCAAAGTACTCAAAACATCCTGCAGCTTGGTGTCCTCCACAATATTATGAACATGTAACATGCATTATATTACCCAAATCATTACTGAAGCTCTTGTGTAAAGATGAGGCACAGAAACTTCATCTGAAATACCCTCCCAAAATCAACACTGAGCAACTGAGAGTAGTTTTAAACCGGTTTTGAACACATTCTGGTGACGACATCTAGACCATACTAGAATTACCTTTTCAAATAAAGAAATCTTGATGTTTATCAAATATGAATCCCACCAAAGGAATATACGCTATTCTTTCTTACATATGCAATTTTCTTACAAGCGTAATCCTCTGTTCCAGAACCCTTCCTCAGCATGAACTTGGACTAATTGATCTTTGCCTCCTTGTGCTGTTCTTTGTTGGTATTAAGAACTTTAAGACTTCTAGGACTTCCCGCTAAAAATTTTTAAAAGATAACTGTCAACAGGTAAAAGATTACTTCAGTTTTCTCCTAGCATGAAATCTCATTACCTGGTTTTAATGAGTTGCCAGAAGTTCATGTCTTTAAATTGCAGGGAAATAACATCTTTTTTTTTTATTTATCTTCACAGAGTATACACATGAAATGTAATGCACAGCAAGAGCAAAAGAATACACATAAACCAAAACAAATCACAAACAAAAGAATGATTTGCCAATGAATTATGAAGGAGAATAACAACCCATTTTATTGGCAACAATAGGCTTTAATTCTGTAAATTAGCATGGCAATTCAATACAGATACATTTAGCCAAGTTTTACAATACTGAACAATGTTGTAATCTCTCATTCAACTTTAAAATTATAGGGAAGCTATAAGAAAAAATACCACAGCCCTTGCTTAAGACTTTTCACTTTAAAAAAAAAAAAAAGTACTTCATAATAGGCTGAGTCAATGCAAAGACAAGCGCCATTAAGGGATTCCTCGATTTCATGTACTGCATTTGACAAGAAAGTTATTTTAGACACATTCAAGGCCTAACTTAAAAATATTGACAAACAATGAAAGTGTGCAGATACTCTGGCCAGCAGTAAGTTTTACACATCAATGATGCAATATTAAATTATCTCTCTCTTTAAAAGGCACATTTCTTTAGATCACTGTAAAATTCAGCTTTTGTGGTTCATCAATATATGAACATGGAGAAGCACTCAGTAAAATAATGATTTGACTGTGCTTGTGCTTTAACAACACAGCTGTATTGGAAGACTCCACCCCACAAAACATACAGTGAAGCTATCAAGGTACAGGGCATAACCCAAAGATTAATGACTAACAAGTGGGAGATGACATTCTAACAATGACTAATTAGAGTCAGCCATTAATTCTAAGCATATGTCCCGTGCTGAGGTTATTATTGCTGTTGCAGGTAAGATGAAGAGTTTTTAAAAAACAGGAATTTATCAGTGGTGTACATAAGAGTTGAAACTGCAAGTTATTCCCAGACAGTACCTCATATATTAACCAGTTTTTAGATCATCTCTCAAAATTTATAAACAATATAACTAGTAAAATTTATAATTAAATTGGTACGCAAGTTTTAGTTCTGAAACTGACAAACCTGGCATCTAAAAATCCAATTCACTCCAAAAAAATCTACTTTGTAAGTACATCATATTAATATTTGTAGCATTAATTGCTAGTTCAAATCAAATGAGGCTTACAAGGGGAACTGCGACTGTTTCATTATTCAAATCCATCGTTTGTACTCAAGTCCCGTGATTCTCCATGGTTTAAGACAAAGAAGTCTTCTTTTTTCAAGCCATATCTTTCAAGAGCTTCATTCAGTTTAACTGGAGGATCCAAGTAATACTGGAAAAGTAAGCATAATATGAGGGAAAAGATACCACTGCAGCATTTGCATGGAAAAAAGAATATCACTGCTCTAAACAAGAAATGGTATACTACTTAAACATCACCTAAAAAAGGGGGGATATATTTGTCAAAATATTTGGTTTCATTTGCAGTTTTTAAAGGATAAGAATGCTGATTTAGAGTAGTAAAATCAGCACTCTTGCTAGAGTAACTAGGAAGGCACAACCTGTCATCCACAAGTCAGTCTTCTTCAGTGTATTGAACTAGATCTCTTGGAAGCAGAAATACGGTGATTCCTTGTTGCGGGCACAGAGGAGGGAGGGTTAGCGGGTCAGCAGATGGCGCTTGCTCTCGTGCAGTAAACCAAAGTTGTCAGCTTTACTGTTTAAAAACTAGTGCCATGGCAATGAGGTCCCCCTCGAGTTACTTCATTTTATTTGCTACATTTCAGAAAAGGCACCATCAGGGAGAAATCATCCATTTTTTTGTGCTTCTAAATACACAATAGCGTTTGTACTGTGTGCACTAGTGACACAGCTTATTAGAAGCATTGTAGATAGACAATGTTATATCCAAGTTAAAGAAAACATGACATATCAGCTGAACATAGCTAACAGCATCAGGACTGAGTTATAAGATAAAGTGATGCAACTGATGCAAAGATGAAGTTGAAAACCAGCTGCCAGCCAAGGTGTATCAAAGTAGATGTAGATACTTCCCTTTCGCTGCATTTTTAGTCACTGTTAAGGTACCTGGGTAACATCCTTACTAGAACTGGGGACAGGAGGAGTTGGGGGGGGAGGGGGGAATATAAAAAAATAAAAAAATTCGGCAACTCAGAATAACTGTTTTTCATATTAGTGCTGGTATTTAACTATGAATCAACTATCAAAAATACTATTCAATTTATTTACTAGACAGATTAATAAATACTGTATTGACCTACAAGCACGCAATTCTTACTGTCTCCAAGTGATGCACTCCTGAGTTTACTTTTATTATTGCATATGTGTCCCCACCTTTCATGTTCCTCCGTTTTTGGATATCAGAAATCGTCCACATTTGTTTCAATAACTCTGTACTTTCAAATCAATCTTAACCATGGAAATATTTTATGTAATTGGTTATGAAAAGCTAAGCATTGTTTTTAACTGCAGTACATACAGCAACAACTTTTCACTCGGGCAAAGTTTACATTTTAAGTACACATTTACAGATACATAGGTAAACTGCAAGAGCAAAGCTTCATTAATGACTGTGTACCCAGGAAATCTAAACTCACGTATAGTGTTGAAATTTACCTCATTTGCTAAAGCAAAGGTCCCCCAATGAATTGCTATAGACTTCTTTGCTTGAACATCAATATGGATTCTTACTGCTTCTTCAGGATCCACGTGCTGGTATTTCATAAACCACCTACCAAAACACAAAGTATTTTTTTTTTTTTTGTCACCTAACTCAGTGCAAGATTTATTCTTTACTTTCATTGGGTAAGTTGCAAAGAATTAAAAAAAAAAAAAATACACTCACCTCATCAAAAAAACCTATGTCTGAACAACGTACAGAACACTCAAAATCAACAAGCTGGAATATACCAGCATACCCACAAAACAGCAGTTCATGTATTTGACTCCTCTTTTCAAATGTTTTTTTTCTTATCTATGTTTTTAATAGTATAAGGACATACTACCGGTTCCTTGAGGCATTGAGGCCATAGACTTAAATCCATCCCTGAAAAAATTTCATGCTAGCAGCGTACACCAAAAAGTGTGCGCTTCAGAAGATAGCCTAAGAAAGCAGAAGAGAGAACCTGGCAATTCTTGAAAGATACTTGATTTTTACTACATTATTCTGATTCTTGTCTTCCTTTCCCAGCCTATACATGCTCTGCTTCCAGCATTATGTGAGTGTGATCATCTGAAAGTTTAGATACCCTGTCATAAGTAGGATGCAGATGCTTAAACAAACAGATCTTTCACACTCTATAAAGGATTCATCTTTAGCTCCAGATAAGTTGCAAAAAGAGTGTAAGGACTGAAGCAAAAGAAAAATGCTGCAAATTGCATACATCTAAACAGGTTGGGTTAAGTAATGCTACTTAAAAGAAAAAGCCACAAAGTAATTCCAGATTTTTACTCAACAATTTCCATGGAAGAAAGTCAGCTGATCCATCCTTGCTGTGCTTAAGACTGAAGGAAAAAAAAAAAAAACAAACCACCTTCAAGAACACCACACATACACAAGCAAGTATCCTAGACGTTTCAGCTCCATCGTCCGGTTGCCTGCAATTTTTTGTCATTCAGCAATTCCTTCTTTTGCCTCTGCATTCTATTGTAAAATCTTAATGTAAGTATGCCTACAGTTTTCACTTCTGGGTGTATTTTTTTGTCATCCGTATATAATTTAATTTATGTCTTTTGATCAAACTTTGATTTTCGTACCTTGGCTCATAAGCTCCAATGGGGATGGCTGCGAGATCAAAAGGTCCAAACCTTTTACCTATCTGTTCAAAAGCAACACAATATCCAGTATCTCCTGAAAAGAAAAACCTATTCCAAGGTCCCAAGACAGACCAGCTGCCCCAAAGAACCTTGTTATCATCTGTCGCAGTCCTTTTGCACCAATGTTGAGAAGGGGTGAAGACAAAAGTTACCGCATCGTGACCAGGGACGCAGTTCTCTTCCCACCAATCCAGTTCAATCACATTCTCGCAACCACACCTCTGCATCCAGTCCAAGAGTCCTAGAGGCACAAACCAGCGCAGCTCACTCCCAAAGCGTTCATTTAAACTTGTTACAGTGTTGTAGTCCAAATGATCATAATGGGTGTGGCTGATCATGACCGCATCTATTTTGGGGAGCTGCTCTACTGTGCATGGAGGTCCTCGGAAGCGCTTGGGACCCACCAGCTGAGTAGGGGAAGCTCGCTGGCTGAAGATTGGGTCAGTAAGAAATATAAGTTCATCCATTTCCACCATAACGGAGGCATGTCCCAACCACGTGACTCGCATACCAGTTCCTGTCTTCCCAGCAAGTTCCGGCTTTTGAACAAAGTAAGGTTTTAACACGGGAAGCTCTTTATCGAGTTCCTAGCAAAAAAGAACACAGTATGCATGAGAGATTGCAGAATGTACTTGGCCACGGAACAAAAACTGCATACAAGGCACAAATCATTACAATCAAGACTTCAGTTTTGTTTATGTTTTTAGGCAACCAGAGCCTTCTTAATGACCATTTTCCCAGCTACTTCCTCCTAATTTCATCTTAGGTTTTTGTGACATTTTCCCTTCTCTGTCAAGAGAAAAGAGAGCTCGAGAGTATCCTATCAGGCCAGGAGATCTACTAATAGAGGAAGAGAGTCTGAAAGCATTGCAATGAACACACTGCAAGGCACTAACAACATCCTGGGAAAGTCTTTGCAATCGGTTGGCCTTCCTGACCTGGAGAAGAATATACACTCTTATTGTAACAAATGCTCAAGTTTGGCTTGTGCAACTAAATGATACATCCCCTAACACAAGTAAGTCACAATGCAATGATCCCAACAGCAAAAGCTCTGTTCTGTTAGCCTTTAGCAGACCCTCTTTCTCCATTACATATAGAAGCAGCACATGGAGGTTAACCTCACTTGGCTAATGTTAGCTTTTACCATTCTCTCTTTCCATCCTGCCAATAATGCAATGAACATTCGTAAAACACAAACTAAAACTCAGATCTCATTTTTAAAACGGTCCTTTAGGCACTTAGCTATGCTTCTCACAATGATTTATTGAAGCCTTCTAGGTAATTAAAGTTTAATTATCACTGAATAAACCACTACACTGATCTCCCTGTATGTTCAGGATGCAGTCCCATGAATGACTTCAACCAACCTAAAACCACACTCCTGTGTAACAAAGTCACGGAAACCTTCCCCCACCTGCCCTCTTGTTCCAGCCTCAATGTTTATGCAGTCCCCCCTCAAGTCTGACAGGTCAGAAAACCGATCCAGCTGAACATTAATCCAGAGGAGGAAAACAGACAGCTTTCAGCTTGATCAGCTTCCAAATCTGACTCTATGTGCAGCCTCAAGAGGCCAGCTGGCACAAAGGAGGCCATGGCTGTACATTATCTGCTGAAACTCATCATCAAACCACTGCTCATTCTCTCATTTTGAACAGGAGTTACGTTCTTCACTGTAGTTTGGTTGTGATGCTTACACAGAAGCTTTATTTGTAATAGATAAAGAGTTTTCCTATTAAAAAAAACCCAACTAAACAAAAAGTCTTCTCAGGACTCCTGACCATCTCCAGCTCTGCCACAGTGTGGCTAAAGCTCTCCTCACAAACAGTTCTGGTCTGAACTCTACACATCACTTCAGAAGATTTTTCCTATGTTAGGCAACTTCTACAGACTCCCGAGACTCTCCTCTCCCTGGTAATCACAGATGTCTCAGCACTTCTGCTTCCTGGTCAGAGTCTCCCTGTCATGGTTGCACCTCTCATTCTCTAGGTCTAGGACAGTAGATATAGTACTATCAGTGAGCTTATACAGAGCTAACCTCCCACTCCCTTAAAAGCCCAGCTGATGCTGTGACAGTTTAGGAGTCTAGGATTTCCCTTGTTAAAACAGTCCTGACAGCTTCAGGGAAGTTACTTTCTCCACAATATTTTATTGATTTGGAGGGCACATGTTGGAAAAAAAAAAAACCACACATCCCCCACTCCCTGCAATCCTACTGTAAGTAATAAAATATTAACGAAACTGCTTTTTCTGAGAGCTAATGGACAAGACATGTCAACTGAAAAAGTTTCATTACTGTCTCCAGGAAAAAGAAATAGATAACCTTCTATAAAGCTGAGCATAAGGTTAGTACAATACAATCACTTAATTCATACAAGAATAAACAAAGTATTAGACTGAGACAAACTGCTGCTTCTCCAAGAAAGAAACATCACTTTCTTATCTCTATTTCATTCTAAGTACATGGGAATGACACTGACAGGAGAAATCTGAACCAGAGTGTTATATTGTGACACTTCAATTAAAAAAAAGAGTGGAAGATCCACAAAACTAACATAATACTCAAAAATGGAAATTAGGACAACCCACCAAATTACATGTGGTTAAGTCAACAAACCAGATTATATCAAGGAAATTAAACTGAGATATGGAATTGAATAATTAATTGTCATAATGCAATTTAGGTCAATAAGTATATTTTTTATGGAAAATGTTCTTTTTAAGTAGTTGTTTTTAAAAGTAGACTACAAATTATTCCGAGAACTCTAAATTAATCCACTTCACTTTTGCTGACATTTGACACAAACTAGTTTTTAAAATTAGTATCATGCAATATTAACAAACAATATTAAACGGATTAAGAACTGGCTAATTGGCAGAAGTCAACAATGAGTTTTTAACTGGGACTTAAACATATTCTACTGGTTTTGGCTGGGATAGAGTTAATTTTCTTCATAGTAGCTCAATATGGTGCCATGGTTTGGATTTGTGAGCAAAACAGTGTTGATAACAGACTGATGTTTCAGCTATTGCTGAACAGTGCTTACACAGCATCAAAGCCAGTAGGCTGGGGGGGTGCATAAGAAGCTGGGAGGGGACACAGCCGGGACAGCTGACCCCAGCTGACCCAAGGGATATCCCACACCACATGACATCATGCTCAGCGTATAAACCTGGGGGAAGAAGAAGGAAGTGGGGGGACATTTGGAGTGATGGCGTTTGTCTTCCCAAGTCACTGTTACACATGATGGAGCCCTGCTTTCCTGGAGGTGGCTGAACCCCTGCCTGCCGATGGGAAGTGGTGAATGAATTCCTTGTTTTGCTTTGCTTGTGTGCGCATCTTTTGCTTTACCTATTAAACGGCCTTTATCTCAACCCACGAGTTTTCTCACTTTTGCCCTTCCGATTCTCTCCCCCATCCTGCTGCAGGGGTGGGATGAGCAAGCGGCTGTGAAGGGCTTGGTTGCTGGCTGAGGTTAAACCACAACACATTTGCACTATTAAAGGCTTTACAGGGATGTCACTAGGACCAACACTATTAAATATTTTGAAAGGTAAAACTAATGTCTATAAAAGGCATTTGTAAAGGACATGCAGACAGGAACATTGATAAATAAAGGGTAGCACAGTTAGAGCAACTAGTATCCTAACCTACATAAACGAAATTCTGTGAACAAAAATTCAAGGCAAACCAAGAGCACAAAGGCAGTATAACTTGGAAAGCACTGACTCTGTATGAGATCTACAGGTTTGTGATATACAGGCATCTGATCCAAATCAGTGATTCCTTGGGAGATGAGAGCAGAAATCAGGCATTATTTTGAGCTATCACAGTAAATTACACAGGGAAATAGCTAAAGAAATTACTTCTCAGTGCATGTGGTTTGGGTCTTTTGTGGGGTTTTTGGGTTGTTTTTTTTTTTAATGTTTTACAGAAGTACACTAAAATCCCCAAAATTACCTTTTAAAGCAATAAAGGCTCATTACTCAACTCATAAGATTTCAAACTAAAACGCAAGTTCTACTGGCAGTATAAGTCATATGAAATTCTTAAAAACTCGTACAACAGTATAAAACAACATAATGAAGGAAATACATAATCTTATGGAGCCTTTATCCCGCTATAGTACAGTTGTTCTCTGTCAGACTAACCAGAAACATATTAATACTAGAAGAATTATAACACATATTTGAAATATGGCATTGATGTCAAATCAGCTACCAACATAAGACAGTATTAGGCACATTTTGCTTATCTTCATCACTGGAGTAATACAAAAATTCCTCCTGCTGTGCCCCTTCCCTCCTCCCATACTCTTCTTTCCTTCCTAATGCAAAACAAGAAGAAACACATGACGGGCTTTGGTAAGACTAGCTAATTAGCTTAGGATTTTTTGCGCTTAGTGCATACTGGAATACCACTGGATTTTACAGAAATAAGAACAATCTAAATTGTTGATCCAACACCTAATAATTAAAGACACTTCAACAGCACTGAAAAAAGTTATTAATAAAGCCTGTAATGAAAGTACAAAAAGTCCATGCATTCTGGATAACGATGGAGGCTTGTTGTGAAGGCATGATTATAATACATATAGCTTTTACACAGTGAAGTCCATATCCTGGGTAATTCGCTTTTTTTACATATGCAAAGCACTTGGAACAGATAAACTGAACCTGCCCGGCATAGCAGGGTATCACTAGGCACACTGTGGAAATTGAAGTAGGAGTCTGCTCAAAGGATATGCTATCTAGCAGTGCTAAATAAAGTATGGAGCCCTTAGTTTGCATTTTAAATAAGCTCAGAAGTGCTTTACAGGTTGATTTAGGTGTGGAGCAAACATAGCTGGAACAAGCATCGAAACGGCCGAGGACCCAAGAAGTACATTTCACTGATCCCTATAGAGGTTCTTCTATTTCTGATTTACTTCGCTGAGCTGCTGAATAATTGCAGGCACTTAATTAAAAAATTTCAGATGCAAAGCCATAACATTAGTCCAAAATGAATCCCAACTGGATCAGAGAGAGCTCTTTACAACTGGTACAGTGTAGATTTCTTTGTAATCATCCTTTATTGCAGGCATAATCTGTAAATTAAAGTGGCGTGCTGCAGGTCTCCACTGCCGTCAGAGCTGTATATTCTGCACTCTGTAGTACACCTTCTAGGTACTTCAGTCACTAACCAGGTTTCAGGCAAAATACAAAGCCTACTGTACACATACAGAACAGGGCAACTGTCAAAGGCAATTGAAAAAGCCAGGGTGTGAATTTTAACGCAAAAATGTGGCCCAAGTATCATAATGCAGCACATTGCCTAGAAAGCTGTACACACTAAGTGAGCCACAACCGCTGTTACTACTACAAGCTGTAGACAATGTCTAGAAGCAAGACACCAAATTTAAAACAGTGAATTGCTGGAAGGGATCCCAAGACCAAAATAGGCTTGCTATGCTTCTTTATGAAGTCAAATTGTTATTATTATAGAACAATTACATCCAAGATTATTTCTCCCTTAAACATGTTCCGTGCCACATATCCTTAAAAAAAATCCCCAAACCTCTGACCATCATGTGTTAGTAACTAACACAGCCTTCCTGTCTGTAAAGCTGATCAAATTCCTTCCTTCACAGTTAATTCACGTAAGATAAAAAAGAAAAGTGTTAAGCTCTTTGCTAAATACTGACTGTGAGATTTATAGCTTATGCTCACCTTCTTGGATGCTTAAAAGCGTTATTAACACCTATTTGTTCAAAAATGCTTTTCCTGGTTGCACACCCTTCAGCACAGCTTTTCCAAACTGCATTCAACACATTAGAAAATACACTGAGAAGTAATCCTAACTGTCAAAACCGTGACCGTCGTAACACTTACTGCGACCACAAAGATAACCCGTGGCTTTCCAGTATCCGTGACTCTTCACGGAAAAGAGGCTTCTCTCAGAGGTTGCTTCCCCCACCTCCTTCTTTATATACAATATCAGACAGAAGCAATACACCAAGAACAAATAATGGCACTTCCCAGTAAACTGGCACTGTACCTTTAGTATTTTAGTACAAATACTGGCTTAGATTAGTTTTAACATATGCAATTTTTTCTCCTGGTGTACTGAAACAGAAAAACATAGATTTGCAAACACTTCCGTAAGTAAATGACAGCAACTATTTATTACATTTTTATGAAAAAGATGTAACGTATGTAGTAAATGGCAGTCTGGGGAAAAAAAAAAAAGGCAAAATTTTTAAAATGAGATAACGCCACAGCTGTTTCATCCAATACAGATAACATTAATAGCATGCTTCATAAGGCAACACCTATTAAAAAGGAAAGAGTGCAACTATAGTTTATGACTGAGCTAGGGGGCCATTTTTGTTGTTTTTGTAAATATAAACCGAACTGGGTAAATCGAAGGGTGTGGTACTAACAGAAAGGAGAAAAAACCTAAAGAGGCAGAAAGTTACTTTTGAAAAGAATAAAGTGATAATAAAAATTAGAAAAACAACACTGAGAAAGTCTCCAAAAGATGCCTAATAAATATTAGTTAGAAACTGCCCTATTTCATTGATTAGAGCAGAGGTAAAAGTGTAAATCAAGAACAGAAAACATGCAAGTATTTACCTGCTTCGAGCATGGCACATTGCTGTTATTTTTTTCCATGAGGGACCATTTCAAAATATTTGGCAAGGTTGGCGATTTCCATGTTGGCCATGGGTTGACAAATTTCCCATCTTTGCCCCTCTTGGATTTAGTTACATCCTCTTCCAATCTGTAGTCCAGCCTGAAGCTTTTCCTGGAGGTCCTGGAAGAATCGCTGCCCCTGGAACCTCGACCCGAATTCTGACGTTTCCTCACTGCTTCTTTAGGGTACTGGTTACAGGCAGTCAAAGGCTGCTCTTCACCCGTTTTCTTATCCATATCTTTTTGAGGAAAACTAAAATAAATTTTAAATTAATCAACCTTTTCTTGGACTTACATCAACATTCATAAGATTGAATGTTCTCACACACATTAAAAACAAGCCTGCCCTTCTCATTTTATGATCTACTGTATTTTTTCCTCAACAAAATATGCTTTTAAAGCAGTTGCTATTACACAAAAGACTTCAAAAACATGCTGTGGCAAGTAGACACGCGATCTCTTTGTAGTTCAGGCAGAATTTTACTCCCCGGTATGCACAGCTTCAGATACTAACACTATTATCTACCAACTGCAAGAGTGAGGGGGAAGGGTTCCTTAATTTATATTTTGGAAGAATAGTAAATTCCTCCTGAAACTTAGGACATTTAGTGCCTGATTTAATACGTTCCTGCAAACCTGTCCAAGAGACACTGGAACTATACAGTACCTTAGGATTTGCCTATATAGTAACTTTGTTTTGTAGTAAGAGCAGCAGCCTCATGTAGCATTAATAACACATTACTTTTACCGACAAGATGTACATACATGCAGGAAAGTCAGAACACAAAAGATGTTTGGTCCTATTTCCTATTTTGTCCAAAACAAAGGAAAAGCTTATTGTTATAACAGTAAAAGTAACTGTTTCAAATACAATTTTCATACAGATTTAACTGAACTGACTAGTGAAAGGCCACAGAAAAACTGGAATATCACAAAATATCTGAGACAAGCTGATTTCTGTAGTCACAATTCTGACACGTTTCTTTGAAAACTGCAAACTCAGCAGAGTCTCTTATTCCAAACTGCACTTAAGTGTTGCAGAATTTAGGAATATGGAGTCCTATTGATCTCATTATATCCAAGGTAGAAAAAAACCTGAATACCCATGTTTTATTTTAAAAGTTGCTGAAGCAATTCAGTTGAAGCTAAATACTTTCTATATTTACTTTCAACATTTCAGTTCAAAGTAAATATACTGTTCTGACAGTTTGGGGTTTTTTTTTTAAAAAAAAAAAAAGTGGCCATTTTAAAGAGTGCACAACATTCTGGTACTTACAAGATGACCAGTAATGAACAGACAGCATGATATACTGCTTACATGCAGGAATAGTTTTTAATAACAAATTGTGAAGTTTGTCCTATGGAAAACTCCCCACCACATGTTTTAGACCTTCTACTATTTCATTAACTCAGATACTCAATCTTTAGTTATATACTCATATGAGAAGCACTGAGCTGATGTACCAGAGCCAGTCCACTCAAACACCATTTTCAAAGAACAAAATTAAAGCCCACAGTTTTCTTAGAAATTAATTCCTAAATGAGGTATTTTCTAAGTAGCTGGGTATGCATAACTCACTGTGCCCCTCATAAGTTCGTAATTACAGGAAAACAAAATATTGCCACTGCAACATTACAGCTAATATTTTACACACGTTACCAAATTGAACCCAAATGCATTTACTGGGGATGTTCTAACTTCAAATGCAGAGCCCGTCCCTGCTATTTCAGCAGCAACGGATTACTAAACAGAAAGTGTGGTGTCAGCTGCAAACATGTGACAATTGATAAATATTGTGAAATTTTCTTAACAAAATAATCGTTATTTTGTTATAGAGATAAAATATTAACACATCAAAACTCACTTCACAAGAAGCATGAACAACGTTCAGAAAACACTGCTGCTATGATTTTTTGATAAATAGTACCATTGGTCATAATCTTCTTTTAATGTAATTGCTTTGTACCCTGCTTTCCCTGTACGTTTACTGAAACCACTCCATTTATGTATTTTCTATTTAGCAATAATATACCACATCTGCATCATAATTTTAATTCAACTGTTGACACTCCCAGGCTTTTTTCTGTATTCCACTAAACATTTACTGGAATCAGCTTTCAATAGAAGGGCCACCCAAATTGCTCTATACCATTTTAAGCAGATATAAATGGTAACAAAAAGAATCAGTGCCTCAAAAAGGCAGACAGAATACCCCAAAAATTGTAATGGATATTTTAACTGTTACTTTAATCTAAGAGGTTTGGGGGGTTTTTTTGGCATTCCTCAAAGAGCATTTTCAGTGCCAAGTCAGCTTATTAATTTAGCAAAGCACGCAGATACAGCATAAAACATCTACTCTTCTAGAAAGCACCATGAAAACAAATCACAAAAATTTAATCAGATGGGTACTTAATTCAAGGAAGTTTTTCTGTTAACATCTCAGATGTCTGATTTTTAAATATATATAACTACTGTAATTATTGTTCCTACAAGACATTTTATATTAGAGACTGGAGTGCCTAAGGTTTTATTTTTAAGCTTCTGTTTATCTATTCATTCATCTCTAAAATAGGTGAATTCTACTTTTGCTTAAATTTTCATATAGACCTTTGATCTTATTCTGAAAGTATAAACCTCTAGGGGAAGTGGGGATCAGCTATATGCTGATTAAACAAAGACAATGCCAAAGCATTTAAGGCACTGCAGGTATCTGTCTGCCAACATATTTTCCACATGATGCACATACATTACTTTCATTAGTATTCCATAAGGAACTGAAGGGATAAAAGACCTCAGTGCTCACAGAATACTTTAAACCCTTTTACATGCATAAGAAAGGGACACATTTACAAACAATTAACTGACAAAGTATTCCTGATGAACTGTAGATTCCTTTGAAGCATCAATCTTGCCAGTTCATTTCTGTTTCATTTAAACTGGTAAAATATATCCTAGAATATTCTTGGAATACAGTAAAAGAAATCTAATTTTCTTATTAAAAAAATGGTAGATGATGATTTCTTGAAAGCCAACAATCATTAGCTTAAAATAAAACTCAACCAGTTATTAGTCTGAGGAGACTCTTATCCTTTCGCAAAAGAAAGCCTCTACAGACAAGGACATTTGGCAGGTATATTTTAAATATTAGAAAATATCCAATCAGAAATGAGCTGATTTTTCATCCAGCTTTCCTGAATTCTTCCCCAAGAAAAATAATAGTTTGACACTTGAGAAATAAATTTAAGCACTGGATCGCCAGCCAAACTATGAGCAATAGAGACACCAAAATCAAACTGGAGTAGAATTATGTTCACTTGGGAGGGGTGGGGGGAATGGACCATGTCCTTGGTGAGTATTTGTTATTGTAAGGTTCCACAAGAAATCTTCTATTTTCCACACTTCTAAACAAAAAGGGAAACTACGATTCTACTTAAAAGCACTAACCTGCTTTCTTAACGAATGGAACCCATCCTTCAGGATGATGTGACTTACCCCCAAACAAGGGCAAGTGGATGGCCACCATTTGTAAGAGGGGTTCAGGCAAGACGCAACACAACCACCCTCTCTGTGCTTAGAGGTGCTTTACTGTTTCAACTGAATTCAGAAAAGGAAATGGAACAAGACATACAAACTACTAAAGGAGACCATTAGTCATGCCAAATCCACGAGGCCAGAAGGTACTCTAGACAGAGCGGAAGAACACCACTGTCTGATGAACAGGATGAAGCCTAACATGAATCAAAACGCAGAGCTCACATAACTGGTTTTCCAGCACCAAATACTAAGGGGCCCCTAGTAATCCACAAAGCAAGAAAAGTTGTAGATCAGGTAGGACATGGCATGGAAAACCCATGTCTTATGTCACAGTAAACAGGCTTACACCTGTAAACAGGATATAGCCCTTAGGACAACAGGTTCGGGGTCAATTGTTTATTTTATCATTGCTTATATAACTGAAAACTTGGATACAAATACTTCAGCTTTGAGTCTTCTGTTTATTTAGGAAAATAATTAGAAGTTTAGTTAAACATTGTAATACTTTTCCTTTCTGTTCCAAAAGAAGGTTGGAAACAGGATACATAAACATTACAAGAAGCACCGACACTAAAATTTTTCTTTTTAAATGGTCTTTTAAGCACAGCAGAGCTTCAGGACAAATTATTTTAACTTTATTTGAAGAACAAATGCATCAACATAAGATCTATTGCGCGAGTCTTCACCTTTTCTACCCAGTCTCCTCTAACATCCACTGCTCCCTAACTGAAATGGATTTAGTTCCCCCTACTAAGCATACAGCTATGCTACTAACTGTGAGTCTGCCACAACAGATTTATCCTTCTTTTCTACACAGAAATGCGGTCCTTATTTAACAAATTCATAAGCTAGAAAGTTGAGGAAAGAGTTACTATAAAGCTATAGTTTACTGGAACCCAACAACATCCACAAAACTTCACACTTACCTTGCAAATATTCCATAGCTTTCCAAATATCCTTAATTTTCTCTATTTTTGAAGCAACGAGTTTGGTTCATTTCTAATTGCTGTCTCTCTGTATAGGCTACATCCAGAAGTGGGCTGCACTACGTATCACCTAAAACGGACAGCACACAATTCCTAGCAAACTTGTTTGGTTTGTGCTTCATCATGCCACTGTAGCCTTATTAAAGCAAGAATCTGAGCTTTCTGCAAAACATGTACTGCTACACAACTCGGAAGTTTTCTTTCAACACAGTCAACACAAGACTGCAAAAAAAGCACACTTTTTGGCTTGAAACTAACAAAAAAAAAAAAAAGGATTTCAGCTAAAAGGTAAGGTATTTGCAAACACTACGGAGCATACAAGTACTTTTTTGAAAAAAGCATCCCACCCGCTCAACTATCAAACGACTGCCAGCTAAGTTTTGGCTGTGCTTTTATTTTTCCTTCAGGTCTGAAATTGTCTGCTTTAACTAATGAACAGTTTGAGACTGGAAAATTCTGAATGCATTTAAACTTTTACTGTCCAGTACTTCAGGCTGTTCATCATACCACTGTAGCCTTATCAAAGCAAAAACGTGAGCTTTCTGCAAACCATATACTGCTACACAACTCAGAAGTTTTCTTTCACTATACATATTTTTTTATGACTGCAACAGCAGTTGCAACAGCAATTATTTCATACACTCTTGGTCCTAGGATTTCACACAAAGAAGATCTTTCAAGCTTGCAATGAGCTCATCTAGAAATACTTTTATTATTTGAGATTTC